TTAATCACTTAACAAGTAAAATAAATTTATGAAAATATTTATATTTATTTAATACATATATATGTCATTGTAATGTGGACATGGATAATAATCATTTGTACTAAGTAATAAAATAAAATAAATTTAAAATTATCTTATCAATTTTTTAAAATATTAATTTTATTATTTGAATAATATTGAATAATATTTTATAATAAAAATTATATTTCGAATTAAAATTTAAATACATAGTAAATCTTAACTAGTTTTTCCATATTCAAAATCTTTAAAATTTTAATTTTTATACATTTAAATCTTAATCATTTAGCATTCCACCCTAAAATTATTTTCTGGCACCCTCCTTGGTTACAGGGATGACAGCATCTAATGAGATGCATAATGTAGCTCTGAATCTAATAGTAAATTTCTTATAAGGTGTAAACAAGGAGGTTTTAATATACTGGCAATATTAATTGAATCGTTGTCTTTCTTAATTGATTTTGTAGCTAAATTGATTTTCTAGTTATATTCCCAAATTAGCCAATAGGGTGGTTGATTTTGTAGCTAAAGGTGTGTTGAAGGATTAGTTCCCACCTCATTGGCCTCTTTGCCCATCATCTGGCCTGTGTAAATTATTGTAAATGGTTATTACTCATCAGTCATCACTAATATAAAGGATGTTTGAAAAAATCTTTAAAATGTTTTTTAAAATTATTACTTATCTCTTTTAATTTTAAAATTTTATTAAAATAATAAAAATTATTTTTTAAAATAAATTTTAAATAAATTTTTAAATGGTTTAGATATGTAATTTTTTAAAATTTATTTAAAAATTAATTTTAAGTATTTTTTAACAAAATTTTAAATTAATAAAAAAATACTTTTAAAATAAATACTCTTCTAAATTTACCGAAAACTCCTAATGCATTTCACTTCTGTTAAAAAGAATTAATAATTGTCCCAAAGAATCAATACCCACGGATTTAGGGTTAGAGTAAAATTTTAATGACACAAACAAAGTTTGTCATAATTTTCCTGAATCAATGCACCATTTCAAATGATCAATTTTAAAAATATTTACTGTTTGAACTTCCCTATGTATATGTACCACGCTGCTAAAGAAAGCCTGCCCTCTGGGTTGCACATGATCGATGTCACGTGGCTAACGCAATTCTCCAAGACTTTGTCGGGGAATTTTGCATAATACTGTAGAT